GATCTGCAGCCTGTCTTTCCTCCACTTTCGCTCCGCCCTCCTACATTGCTGCCTAACAGCTTTGGTGACGTCACTCAGCCAAGGTTCTGTTCTGAGTTTTGATTTTTTGGTTTTAACAGGCGCAACATGATCCAGAGTCTTTAAGCAGACTGAGTTGAACTGGGATGTCAGCTGCTCAGTGGTGGTGAGAAACACTGGGGGCTGAATGATCATTTCAGAGTTATAAACATCTGTGAAACGTGTGGCAGTGAAGTGGTTAATGGTCCGACTGTGACGTGCAGGAATGCACGACTTAGAAGTTAGATGGGGGAGGGTGAGCTCAAATTGGACTGGCGTGTGGTCTGAAAAAACATGTCCTTAACCAAGGGCTTCTCCTGACAGCACACGTGCAAATTAAAGTCCCCAATAATGAAAACATGATCATATTTTGGTGTGATTTCAGCCAAGAAGTCAGAAAACTCATTTATGAAGTTCTTAGATCGAGGTGAGCGGTAGATGAGTGCAAATAACGTCGAAGGCGAATGTCCGAGTTCAAAGATGCTCAGCTCAAAGCTGGCACGAGAAACTGGGATGGGCAGTTGTTTACAGGCAAAAGTTGGTTTGAATATTGTTAATAATCCACCACTGCGCCGGCCTGATGGCCACGGGGCGTTAAAACACAGACAGTTTGGTGGCAATAATTCCGTCAAGGCGCTGGACTCACCCGGAGACATCCAAATCTCTGTGATGCAGAAAAAGTCTAACTCATGCTCTTGAAAGTAGTCCCTGAGGATAAAAGTTTTGTTGGTAACAGATCTTGCATTGACCAAACACATCCAGATACTGTCCGAAGTGGAGCTAGCAGCGGTGAGGTTAGCGCGCATCAGTGGCCTCAGATTTTCAATAACAGCCCCTCCGGGTCGGCTCACGCGAGGCACTGGCTGACAACTCTCATTGTTTACCTGGTCCGGGCACGCGGGAAGCTGGCATTGGAAACCATGACCACCAGCTGAAGAGGAAGATGCAGCACACAGAGCTTTAAGCTTCACCAGCTGACCAGCACGTTTTCCCCGGCGTCTGAAGCGATATTTCCGGGCAGGCAGGTGAGGAGTGCGAAGCGGAGGTAAACTGGCATGTCCGCCAGCGGGGGGGAGGATGGGG